ACTGTTTCGACATGAAGCAGTTTTGCCAAAGGAAGTTGGATCACTGGCACTCTCAGTGCTGGATGAAAGAAGCTGGATCTCATATTTTACGAGTTATGATATCTGTACAGTATTTGTGAATACACTGAGTTCAACTCAACCGTTGTAAATGCATTTTTCGCAATATTTCAAGACGTTTTTCAGCCTGTATGAGCTGAGACTTAATCAGGAAACTTGCCTGCTTTTGATTAATTATTGCGATCATTGCAACTTCACACACCAGCTGAAGAAGACGTGTTGATAAGTGAACTCTTGGACCATGTTAAGCTACTGTCCTTATCCCATCATTGAACCTTTTCATTACTGATCGATAAAAATCATGAAAATATTTTGAAGCACTCCTATGCACATAATTATTTACGATCTTCTAGGTGTGTGTGTGAATGACGAAGTTAGCAGCTGGCTATATCAGTGGATGCTGAATTTGAACTCTGCAGTTGGTTTTTTCTTTTCACTAACACGTCTATGCAGCTTTCTGTTAACTATCGTCGGCATGCTTAAAAGACTTGAACATTCGAAGTTTTGTTTCAAAAACATGCAGAATCAGAGGAGCGCGATTATGTTTACAGTAAGGCCTCGGGCAGAGTTCACGCGATTTGATCGTCGCGATTCAATCGCTAAAGACAAGTGTTACGAGTTCATTGCATGCCGATCTTCTTGCATTTCGGTTGTGATAGTTTTCCAACAAGATATCGTGACTAATCTCAACCGAATTGCAAGAAGATCAGCATGCAATGAACTCGTAACACTTGACTTGTAGCGAATGAATTGCGACAATCAAATCGTATGAACTCTGTCCGCAGCCTAAGGCTCAGCTTCAAAGTGAAAATGAAAGCAAGCTGCCTGATTGCCAATGAAAATGCAGCTTCCAGCGCAGAATTCTAAATAATACAATCCAAAAACAATTTAATGCAGATGGCGCAAGCTGGGTAGATAGTAGCTGCCATCGAACAAACGTGTTCTCATGAAAATGTCATATATATAGTAAGGCAAGGTAAAGTTTTCACTTAAAAGCTAGCAAATACGCATTTACACGAAAGTCAGCACGCTCATGCGAAAAAATGATTTGTGGTTAAAGGGTATTTAGATTCGGTTCCGATTTGCAACTTTGGGAGAGTGAAAAAGGCGTGCCAAGACATTGGCCGTGATTTAACACAGCCAGCCATTTTCACATGTCGTCACATGCCCAGCACACGATCTCGACAGATCGTGTGCTACTACACGATCTTGTGGCAAGAGCGTGCGCTTGATACATCGCGAGATCGTGTGCTCGCACCTGATCATGGGCATGTTTGCAACGTTAGTGAGCACACGATCTCACGATCGTGCGATTGATACATAGCGCCCCAGAAGTCTATCTGTGTTCGTCGATGCCACTCGCATATGTTATGAGGTGATCATCCTTCTTGATGTAGTATGTGTTCGCCAGCACCAGATCATGAGCTGAGGCGAATTCCAGAATGCGCTCACCTTCTTCGTTGCATGTTCCGTATCCGTGGCCTCCGTGACATTTTCCGGCTTCTCCTCGCCTTTTTCCCACATGTCCGTTGAGGTCCGCTCCTAGCAGGAGTGTCTCATCCAGTGGAATTGAACTGATGTGATCATCTAACTCCTGCCAGAACGTGTCTTTTCCGTCATCCTTACATCCGACTTGTGGAGCATAGGGGGTGATTACTCGTAGGACCTGTTTCCCAGTGTCTATCTTGATGCTCATCAGACGATCGCTTAGGCGTTCAACGTCAACTATATTGCTCCGTAGAGTCTCCGAGACAGCTATACCAACCCCGTTTCTGGTGCAGGTGGCACCGTTGTACAGGAGCTTATATCCATCTCCGATGTCGCGTGACTTTGCCCCGCTCCACTTTGTTTCCTGTATGCAGGCTACATCGACTCGCCGTCTCTTCAGAAGATCTGCTAACTCACGAGAACGAGAGGTGAGTGTACCCATATTGATGGTAGCTAGACGGAGAGTCTGCGATGCCTTGGTTCGTTGCCTGTGGTGAACTAGCCGCTTTAGCCGTCCCCGTTCACCTTGCTGAGACGGTAACCCTCGCCCACTATTCGCATTCGTCGGGCTCGAATGCGAGTCGCCTCCGGGGGACGCCCTAGCCTTTACTCGAGATACTTTATGAGACATGTCTGCATTTGTGATGCGACGGGGTGTTTCTCAGCCGGCTTGTCGCATGCCCTTTTTTGGAAGGGCAGCCTGACGCTGGAATTGTGAGCAGAGTTTTGCCGCAGAAATTAGGCTCAGGGTGGTATCGAACCCGTGACCTTCAGCACGGCAATGTTACGTAGAGCACTAATAACTAGACTAACTCTGCTATTGAGCACCTGCATCAAACTTGAAAATAATAAAAAAGCATCAACAGAGATACTGCCCACAATGCAAAACGCTAAGAACATCAAACTCCAGCATACTCTGAAAACCCAACTATTTTTGGAAGCTAGTAGTTTGAGAGTAATCGATTGAGCCAGCGGGCACAGCGGTAAGTTAATGAGTTGAAAAGACCTGAATAGGATTTTTTTTGTAGCCTAGGATAGTGTAAGTTAAATTTACCACGTCTGCAACTAGCAGGTCTAAAGACCCAAAACCTGCTAGCTCTCTACCCCCTCTTTTCGCAGTATATGAAAACAGAAAAGTAAGTCAGCCATTATTCTCTTATTCATTAGCAATTTCAAACCCATCCTTCTCAGGCTTCAGCATAAGGTGGAATGTATTCTCTAGATATGCTTCTTTTTTGCGATATAAAACCATTTTTGTAAACACTCGCTGAACTTTTTCAAGTTTTAAAGTCTCCTTTCTACATGTGGGGTTCCATACCTGAGAGCAATACTCCAGATGAGGGAGCACACACACTTTATATATGATGAGAGTATTTTCATCACATAAATGAATGTTTCGAAAGATATCAAACAGCGATGAGTACGCTTTTTGCACAGCATGATCAATGTGTTCAGTAAATTTTGAGAATCAGTCAAGACGCCTAGATCCCTAGTCAATGAAGACATTGTTAGGACAGAACCATTCACTTCGTAATCGAAAAAACCACCAAATTGTATTAGGTTGGTGCAAAAGAAATGGCCGATTTTCCAAGCCTTTTTTCAGGTCAACTTTTTTCCATCAATAGTTCTTCTTTACAATGGATGTAGTTTATTGTCGCGGAGCTGTTTTCATGCTCTATCTAACGGTGCTTAAGACGGGCTCTCATCCTCATTTCTTGTAAAGTTACTGAGCTTCAAATAACCGCATCCGAATTCAGAATTTCATTGCATTCACTTTTCCGGCCAGAATTTGAACGCGTATCAATGGGATTTCTTCGAAAATTTAGCTCTTGTATATAACAGAAATTGTCTACATTATGTGTACTTAACTGCATTCTTTGAAGTTATACAGACTGAGATATCGGCGCCCAAACATGAGTAGCTGTTGCGGTCATTTTATGACCCATAATTTTCTTCTGAGGAAGTCAGTCGCCGAAGCTTTGCTCAATTCTGTAAGCGTAGGGCTAGGACACTTATTAACAGTTTTTGCAAAAACATCCAGCTGTTCAGTACGTAGAAAATCAGAAAATTCTATACTCCGGACTTTGAGGCACAGTGAAAAAATGTTGAAAAACTGAGAAATTTTAAATTTCAATTTTTCTCTTTTTCGCAAACTTTTTTGTCCGAATTCTTTTTATTGCATTTTGTACTACTGACTTGTGGCTACAAGATAGGCCACCTATTATACTAAAAAACTTTGAAGGAAGTTATGAATTGTTAAAAAGAAGGTTCTAGCAGGAGAACCTTCTTTGTCTTTTAGTCCATATTTCTCTTCCCTTTTATGGTTTGAGTATGATTAAGTATGCGCTGTATTGCGAAAGATTTGCTGCTTCTGATAGTTTTTACTGCATTCGGAAATTTGAATTCTTCCAAAAGTTATAGCACGTCAAAGTGAGAATTCGCAAATCGGCCATTTCCTTTGCACCAACCCAATAGAAAGGAGCACTTGCTAAAGTTCAGAGAAAAACCATTATGCGAAGCCCACCAGCTCAATCTTTCAATGGATGACTGATAGTGCAGCATGCATAGCGTGATGATCCTCTTCATTATAACAACCATAAAGCTAAGTTCATCCGCGTAAATCTGTACACTCACTCCATCCAAAGTCAGAAGAGAAGATATCTCCATAGTAAAGATCAGAAAAAAAGAGGTGAAAGTGTCCCATCCCGGGGTACACCACTATTACATTGATATTTCTCGGAAAAAACTGTCCTACCTTGGTTGTGATAAATCTGTTTTCAAAATAAGATCGGAACCATTGCAGTAAATTTCCATCTATTCAATAGCCTTGTAATTTGGATAGTAGTACATGGTGGAGGATTTTATCAAATGATTTCGATAGATCCACATAAACAACATCAACAGATAACCCAGCATTAAAGGCAGTGGCTCGGCAAATCTCAACCTAGTCAAATTTTCGCTTACCTGGGGTCATTCAATACGCTGATTCCGGAAATCCACTTTTGAGAGCTTGAAAACGCCAAAAACGAGCGTTTTCTGATGCCCTTCCCTTTGGAATTGGACGAGTGAGCAAGGCCGATGACGGCGAAACGTTGTAGGGCCCAATGGCTATAGCATTGCGGCGGGCAGCCTCCAATGGTGAGAAGGAAATTGCCAACTCGTCCGGATGCGTGTAAATGGCCTGCGCGTGTAAGTTTGAGAGCAATTTTCTCGGCAAGGAAGGCATGCTGTGCAGCCGGGATTGCACTGTTTTCGTACTTGGGCAATAAGGAGTCTGCCGTGTTAAAATTTTGAGTTGTTGAGTTTTGCCGACCCACTGCCTTTAAGGGTTTTTCTCCAATCAAAAACACTTGCAACAATAGTTGTAGTTGATCTTCCAGGTGAAAAACCATGAAGACATACACATACATACAGACAAACAGACATTTAGCTTTATATATAAGATGACCACTCACTTTCTGCTAAAGACACGCGTTTCTTAGGAGCGACTGCTGTTTCATTTGGCAAAGCAGAAGATATTTTAGTTGGTGAAGCTGTCAAACCTTAAAGGTAGTATTGTGCATGAAGCAATTTTCATTTTTTTCTCAAAATCAGCCTTTTTGCTGATGTTTTGTTGTTTTATTGTTTTTTGTTGTTGTTACACTTGAGCTAGATGCGGTCGTCAAGGTGCTTGCAGTGGTTGGGAAATAGTTCTCACAAATTTAAAATATACATGAAAAAGTGCTCACTTGTCGAATGCAGCTCACAAAGAGGGCCAATTTCGCCGTTGTCAACCGCACAAACAGCGTTTTTGAATATCTTCTTGCACGATTTATTTTTAAAGCAGCCTCTCCTATCTTTTGAATCAGCCCAGTAAAGCGGTTCACCCAGATGGGCCTAGAATTTTAGATAATTCGCAAATGTGGATTAATCAGTTATGAGAAACATAAGTTCTGATTTTATGTTTCTATCAGTTCTCCCCCCCCCCCCCCCCCCCATAGAAAATCTTGCGTAGATCCTCCGTTAATCATGTTCAATATTCTCGAACATTGGAAAAGTACAGATCGAAACAAAACTCGTTTAAAGATCGTTTAGTGCTCGGTGCTCGGCAATGTTGCCTTTGGTTGCGGCTTTTATGTATTAGGTTGGTGCAAAAGTAATGCGCGTTTTTCTAGCCCTTGGTTTAGGACAACTTTTCTCCACCAAACTTTCTACTTTGAAAAAAAACTTAGCATAGATTCAAGAAGCTCCATTCATCCTCTATCCGATGATGGTTAAAACGAGCTTCTAGCTCCATTTGTTAAAAAATAAGAGAGCTTCACACAGCCGCACTCAAAACCACAATTTCATTGCATTTACTTCTCTGGCCAGAAATCAAGCCCGAATAAAAGCAAACTTTCGAAACTTCAGCTAATATATTTAATGGAAATTGTCTACATTATGCATGTTTTACTATTTTCTCAGAAATTATCTAGGCTAAGATTTCGGCTGCTCAACATGTGCAGTCGTTTCGATCATTTTGTGATCCATAAATTTCCTTTGAAGAGGGCAATCACCAGACCTTTGCTCATATCTGTAGCGTAAGGGTAGGTCTCCTATTGGCAGTTTTTACAGAATTGTGTATCTGTTTGTTACGCAGAAATCCAAAAAAATTCCATATTTTGGGGTTTTTACGCCTGCGAAAAAATGTCTAAAAAAGCAGGTAATTGGTTTTGAATTTTTTTCCTTTTCGCAAATTCTCTCTTTCTGGTCCTTTTCCAATTTTTTTTGTACTACAGGCTTCCGGCTACAATATAGGCTACTTATCATCTATATTGACATATTCTGAAGAAAGCTAGGATCAGTTAAATTTGAACTTTCAGAAAAGAATTTTTTCTGCTTATCAGTCTATATTTTTCTGCCCGTTGGAGATATGAGTATAGGGAGATGTGCGCTGTATTGCGAAAGGTTTGGTGCCTCTAACGTTTTTTACCGCATTGGAAAATGTGGATTTTTTAGAAAGTTATAACACGTCAAAATGAGAACTCGCAAAACGCGCATTACTTTTGCACCAACCTAATGTTTACATCCAACAAATTTATCAGCAGCAAATACAATCAGGGGTAGCGTATATGCACTTTTTCTCAAATAGCAAATTTAAATTCTTATTTTCTAACTCTTGCTCCTTGTGTGTCACACGCTCATAATGAATTGATTTAAAATACATCTTCTATCGAGACGCTAGCACGCTCGGCACCACACGTCTTCCAAGAATTACTTTAGAGAACTTACTCTTCCGTTTCAAACCTATGTAACATTTCCTTGCTCTGTTCCACTTCTATAACACTTCCTAGCCCCCACATTAGTATTTAGCGTACTCCCTTAATCCTACAAATATGCTGTTTACCCTTGTAGTCTGTAATTAGCATAAACTAACCAGTCCACCTTTTCAAGGGCTAACTTTTCTACCGGCTTTCAAGGCCCAGCTCAAAGTTGGAAAACGCAAATATAATGAAGACGGTGGAGGTTCTGCTAAACAATTGTTGTTTTCGGAAAGCCATTTATACCAAATTTCGTTTTGCTAAGTCCCGGTGTTCTCGCTAGAAATCGAGAGTTAACAGCCGAAAACGAAATTAGTAATGACTCTACAAATCAAGTTGTGAAATTTGCTCGGATGAATCAAAAATGAATTTTCCTTTTCACATACGCACACAGTGATCAACTTTGATTTCTATATCATTTTGGTGTCTCCGACTATACAAATCTAGGCTCACTCACTTTTTCTCGTATGCACACGCAATAGCGACTTTCTTTTTAGCCTTGCAGAACCGATAAGCACATCCAAAATGCAATGTCCTGTTATAGATCATCTGTAAGCGTTAAATCACCTTAGGTATCAAATTTAACTTTCACTTCTACTATGTGAGCATAAAAAATCAAGATTACATTTGCGAAAGGTTCCATGGAATCGCTGGAGTATACCACACTCGAACTTAGAGGTCCCCCTTCATGGACTGTATCGCTCCAGTCATGCACGGCGAGCCCAAACATCTCTATCAGCATAGCACTGTCGGGCTCTTTATTTCTTCTGTACCTAAAGAGAAATGTGCACAGTTCCGCAATAGTATTAGTTTTGTATAAGAGAGTACTATCGCGTACGTTATGAAGTTATGTCCTTTTGCTGACAATTTCTTGCTTAATGGTAAATATTTACATTGCTGTCCAATAACTTGCGAGGCTAAGACTTCGTGAGTGCACTCATACTCCTGTATTTTTTGTGAATAAGTCAACACCATAAGTAATTTGAAACACTTAGCCATATTCGAGACAACATCTCTAAGGTAATTAAGCCCAAGTTTCAATCATTTTCGATAGCTGCTTCTGGAGGTATGCTGCTTACCAGCTTGAAAAGGCTCTTCGATCCAGGTAGGTTTCCAAAAGTCGTTTTATCCAGTTTGCGTGTTGCAATATTTGCTCTGAGTCTATTATGAGCCGCAGTGACTGCTTTTGCTGCTTCAACAGCCATTTTACACTTAGCTGAAACTTAAGAATTTTCACGTGGCCGTATTCAGTAACATATTCAGAGATGAAAATTACTTTGGCACCGCATACTTGTGCTCAAAAGGCACCTAGATCAATTTCTCATATTTCACGGTAAATGGAACATACCTTGAGCCATTGATTCGTATTCAAGAACATATAGATCATTCTAGAAAGACAACGGATTTGTCTGCGGTCTTTGCCGCACACAAAAGCATAAATTACTCACACAAAAGGCATTACCTCAACCTTTGGCCCAGACTTCCAGTGTCTAAATACTATCATACGTAAACAGAAAAACCATTCTAGCGAAGATGAAAACCAAGAAAATGCGGTTGCGGGAAGTGCGTGCGTGTTGCGCGCGGTCTCGCCATCGTCACGATTTCTCCAGTGCCCTATACCTTCAACCTAGCACCAGCCAAGGTAAAATAGTCTTGGTTTGGTATCTTTACCCAGTACAGTTGCCTTATCTCAGGGTAAATTCTACTCTGAAATATGTCCGTAAACATGACTAATGGCTTGAGATATGAGCAGTTGAATGAGCATACTTTGTGAACATAGGTATGCGCTCTCAAGTTACGTTTTATCTCAAGGTGTGTTGGTGATTACTGCCACTGGAGGGCATAAACCTATTGCTACCAGTTCATGCCTCCAGATTAAAGAAAAAGAACCTTGATCATGTTGCCATGTATTACCTGCTGACACTAACGCTACTTCCCGGAACAGGGTGGACCATATCTGGAAATGATTTTCTTACTAAATTTTCCAATATCGTAACATGGTTACCAGGAACACTGACAGCATCTTGAAAAAAGATTTTCCTGTCTCTTCTTTATCCCTTTTATATCCAAGCTTGTGTAAAGCAACAACTACAATACAACTGAGCAACGGTTGCGTTGCCCGGAACCTGGACGAAAAGGAAGATCAGTAAAATAAAAAATCAATCATAAGTGTTTCGCATTACTCCTACTATCAAGCATAAACGCTTTCTATAGGTCACGAAAGTGTTGAAGAGATTGTCATCAAGAGGCAGAAAGAAAAGTGCAAGTTTTAGATACTTCAAAGATTCAATTTGTCCTATCATTAGGTTCCCTGAAAGTTCGTTCGCACCGTTTTTAATCACAATTTCTTACTTTCTCAATGGAATTTACAATTGTTTATATGTAGAGAGGAAATCATGCTTCTTTTACAAAAGAGTCTAAAAGGCTTTTTTTGCACGCAAACAGATAGAAGCAGTAAAAGAGATTATTCAGTTGATTTTTTGTGTAGGAGTGCCAAGAAAAATTGAAAAAAAAACTGAAATTTGCGTTAAACTAACCAACAACTTTAACAACGTAAAAAATCAGTTAACTTTGCATTTAGCAAGTTTTGGTTGCCACCAAGCTTTTTTCAAGGGTATTTTTGGAAATTTGAGATGCATCTTATGCTAACGTCAAGCTCCTGTGCAGAAATTTATGTCTTATCCACTTCCACAAATCTTTGAGCTCGCCAATTATACATTTTAATGTCCACAAAGGGTATCGTCACTATTATTAGATTTCGTGTTATGGCCAAAGAAATTACAAGTTTAGCCAATTGATTTGGATCAATTTGTCAATCAGTTCTGTGCGTTCAATTCTTCTACAGCAGTGCAACAAGGAAGTACATCGACGAGAGCAATAAGCTCTTATGATTCTGGATCATTGCAATGCACATATGCAAATCTTGCAATTTGCCAATCACCAAAACACTAAGTGAAGAAAATGTAAAAATACAAATGTACGAAAGTGCGACAGCTACGCTTAAGACTTCAAACAATCAATAACAAAATTGCAAATTTCTCACTCTTTACGCCACATAAAGCGGGAAGGATTCTTAAACCGTATGACGTACATCTCCGCTGGGAAGGGGAGGGGATCTGACAGGCTCTAGATATTTTTCTTCTTCCTTCTCTATCCTGCTTATAAAGGTTCTCATACCCTTATACCTACGCATAGTAGGTGCCAGGTTACTGCCATACAAGATTGGTTTTTTGCCATTTTGCGTAATCCCTTGGGGATCCCCTGGTCCGTCGCTCGCCGCAAATGGACGAACCGACATTGCGCCGATTCGGCAAATCGCGACGATATCGCCAAATGAGCTATGAACGCCGAAAAGTTGTAACGATTCGTCACACCGAACAGCCATTACAAATGCGTCGGGACCCACACGCTTAACAGCGTGGCGCGGAACACTTGTGTAAAACAGCAAATCCCGACGCGACGAAATCGCGTGAGCTATGCCAGAGCCTAAGATTGATTGAATGGCAAGTAAGGGGAGACATCTGACGGCCAAGTACGTGGATGTGAATGCCGCCTTTTCAGCCTCTGAAGACGCCGTCAGGACAAAACATCAGGCAATGAAAATACGTATCCATATCGAACTGTACGGAGCAATAAACCTGAAACTGTAAATAGTCAGGAACGTGCTCAGCTTCAAAGATTAGAAAATTTACAACGTGACACTTTTTAGACTTCTAAATTTCGTTTTCGCTACGATGGATGACAGGCGAATAATTTGATGGTTGATCGCATACAAGATTGGCGAGTCATCAGGTCCTTTTATAGACTCGTAATGTTTCCATTCTCGTGCTCATTGTTTTCGGAGAGCGGTCGAGTTGTGGCAAGTTGCAAATATCAATGAGAAGAGCAGATCAAGCTCTTCAAAATGACTGATCAATTTCGATAAAATCTGGTCGTCCACAGTTTGCAAACATGATTCCTCAAGAGGCAAAAAGCATTTTTAGAACCTGCCCTTTTCATCCTATACCAAAAGAGCTTTGTTCAGATTTTTTTCCGATTTTCCGTCTATATGAGCAAAAACAAGAAGTGGATTGTTTTGAAGTGAAAGAGTTTGGAGGGTGTTCTTTGACAAGAATAGGCAGAAGGTTCTGCTCTGATTGATAGACAAAAACAAAATGGATCGTACTTGACTCAATCGAAATGCATCGTCGCAGCTCAGACGATTACAGGCTCTGGTTAGAAAAAATCTCTAGGTTCAGATCGCTTGGATTTGTTTATCCTTGGCCAGCAAACAAGTGCAGATAAGTGCAAATGTGTGCGATCACACATCCTCCCTCAACTTCAGCTTGGTTTTCTAGGTACTTGGAGAAATAAAGTGGCTATCCGAGTTTTCTACACCATTCTGTCATTTGAAACACATTTCGGCTCGAGTATAGTTAATCAATCGATTCTCACCAAAGCACTCCTATCAATGATAATATACATTCAACAGAAAAGTGTCTGAGTTATTGTTGACGCGTTAAAATGATTGAACTATTTTTTAGCTGGCTAAGCAACAGTGCTAAGCAGGCACCCTCAGGCTGCATTATAGCTAAAACCGAATAATTTTCGAATATTCGTAGATTTTATTCGAATATTTGAACACTCAAATAAAACTTCGACTAAGTGGTTTTCCGATTCTGTGAATAAACATAGCATATTCGAATAAAAGTCTCATTTATTCGACTGTTCGAATAATCAAATAAATGCATTCTCCAGAATTTTTGACTTTTCTAGTTCGAATAAATCGAGCACGATCATTCGAAAAATATTTGTTTTAACTATAGGCTGCACTGTCGTCCCAGGATGCAACTTGTATAGTTCGATTTGGATAGCATCGGGTGTCATGGAATACTCAAGCATGCAATCGCGCTGAATTTGCTCGAACCGCTTTCCTGCTTGTAATGTTCATAAACAAGACGGAATACATCTTGTAACACGCAACAAAACTCTTCAGGTCTCATGATTTTATTTTCACCGACAATCGATGGAGACACTTAGTAGTAATCTTTACTTGCATTTTACTGTATTTGTGGCCTCAAAGAAGGCCGTTAGGGTAAAGCTCTCAAATTTAGAAAGATTCAAGATTACTTACTTCTTCTCCCTCCCTTTCCGATCTATCTTTGGGTGAAGGGGCCCAGCAGCTACTACAAACTTCTAAGAGTCATCAGCAGCCTTGGCTGCGTTCCGTTGCCCGAAGTTTGAGAACAGTTCCAGCACAACGCTCGAACTTAGCGTTGTGCTGGAACCGTTGCCGTACTTCCGGATCAGTATGAATGCAGCCTTTGACTACCCTTGGCTTGGAGTCACCCGGCTCCCCTTTCGCACCTCTGATTAGAGATGGAGACTAAATACCTGCAGGGAGAAGATGCCGTTACCAGTGTAAGTGATTATGACCTATAAAAGGATTTAGCAAACTGTTGGGAGCAGAGCAGTTTTTTTTCAACACCTCATTAGAGAGCAAAGTTTCACCACCTCGCGTGCTCCGCGCTGACGGCCACTCCGTGAGGTCGACCTGGGATTGATCACTCGATAACATACTCGCTCGCCTTATTTCGACGCTTAGAAGTAATGCATGCTTGAATGAAGCCGAAGAATCATCTATACGCCTTTTCTTGCTCACTAGGTTCCGGCATTCATAGTTTTTCAAATAAGCTCAAAGCAAAAATAAGGTTACATTTAATCACCGCTCGAGACACTATTTTAAGGAAAGTAAGCAAAAACTAGGAGATGAGCTGAAGTTTTCCACTAACTACATCTTAATAATGCTACAATGCCAAACCTTTTCATTTGCTACCAAGCCCTTGTTTTACTACATCGACAACGGGCGATTGTTCACTGCAATGCAATTTAGCCTAATGGTCATTTTGTTATAAGAATAACGTCGGTGCATTTGGAAGGGCTTTGTCTAGTAATGCTATAGTATTTTGTACCTGGCGTATACCCTCCTTCCACAGAACACAATTCATGACTAAAGTTCCTAACTACAAGAAATGACGACACAAAGATGAGTATGAGTTAATCGAATACGATTGCATACGATTTAGGATTACATAGTGGAGATAGGGTAAAGGCTAACGATAAAAATCCATACAACATTGCAGAGATTGCATGTGTTTATGGCAAACAAGACTTTTTAAGCTACACATGCACAACCGAATAAAAGACAATGGGATTAAAGGCACTGTAAAGGCTAAATCTAACCCCTCCGATTAGTGCCGATCGTGAATGTAGGCCCCAGGAGAGGCGCATCTACGTTTGTCCGGTCCTCTAATGTTGTTTCTGAAGGGATAATATACCTGGAACAGCGAAAGTGCTATCAGGCCACACCCAGATTCTATCAAGCTCCGCCCAATCAGGGACTACCTCTAGACACGTACCAACATGGTGGTGAGCAGAAGCTGCACATTGCATACTGCAGAGCTACTGCACCCAAGCAGTTGCAGCTCCTCCCCGCTGGCATGCCGAGGAGAACGAGCAATTCATAACTCGTCCGCTCCCTAAGAGAAGGTCTCAGGAATCGGGTTTTTCGGGTTTTGGACAGTTTGAACCTCATAACTGTAATCAAGGCCATGAGAAAACCCCAAAATGACAAAAACAAGTGATTTGAAGTTGTGGGTGAACGCTGCCTTTACGATGGAAAAGGAGAAAGATTCTCGCAAGACAACAGCGGTAAATACGGTTGGAAAGCTGGAAACCTACGCTCTGGTGGAGAGCCTCGCAAATTTCTGTTAACTTTATGTCTATAAAAGCCTGTTTTCACCGTTTTCGCACTCTCTAACGTGAATTTTCGGATTTAACGTTGCAGATAACCACAGGTAAGCGAATCCGCTAAAAAACACATTGTCCGGACACCGCCTTCGAGATGGTGTGAGAGTTTTATGAACAACTAATATTTCTGGCCTCGTAAGTGGATAAAACCGCGTGGCCAATAGCGCCTTGTTGGTACTTAGCATATTATTTTTCCATATTATTCAGTGGACAACGGAGGTAATAAGGAACTTCTTTACAGATTGATCACTTGTCATTCGAGTTTCTCAAAAGATCTCGACTGGTTCACGAAACACGTTTGGTGACCAAAATTCATGAAATTGAAAAAACTTTTCAAGG